CTTAAAAAAAAAAATTTTTTTAATGTCTATTTATTTTTGAGATAGAGAGAGACACAGAGTGTGAGTGGGGGAGGATCAGAGAGAGAGGGAGACACAGAGTCCGAATCGGGCTCCAGTCTCTGAGCTGTCAGCACAGAGCCCGATGTGGGGCTCAAACTCACAAAGTTTGCGAGACCATGACGTGAGCCGAAGTCGGCCTCCCAACTGACTGAGCCACCCAGGTGCCCCTTCAGAGCTTTTAAGTACAAATTAACATCATTATTCAGTAAAAACTCATACCTTTGTGTTTTTAATGCTTTTTAGTAAGGCAGATGTTTATTGAATGATAAATATAGAATATATCTGAGGAAACATTGAACAGTTTATGGATCTTAGAGCCAAAGAAGATTCTGATGAATAGTGAAGGAACATTTGCTATGTGTGAAGCACTGCACACAGATGATTTTCACTGACTTCCCGACAATCTTGTGAGATAGATTTTTATTAGTGCTGTATTTCAGGTGAGGGAACTGAGTTCTGCATAGTTGAGTGATTGATCAGAGTCACTTGTGGTAAGTGAGAGGTGGGATTCCAACCTGGGTGCCTAACTCCAGAGTTTATAGTCCTGCAAAAAGCCCCAAATGCTTAAAAGGTCAAGACATGTCCATTACATTCTAACATAATTTTGTAGTCATTGAAATTTAAAATAACTTGTAGAAATTGATTTGAACAGAATTTCAGGAAAGTATCCAGTTAAAAAACAGATTTTAAGCAATACTATGTTTGAAGGCAGTTCATGTGGTATATAAATTATAGACTATAGGCAAGGACTGAAGAACAGACAAGGCTGCTATGGAGTTCATTTAAAATCCTCAAAGCCAGGCAATATAATAGAGAAAAAAACCTTAAAAAAAAACCAAACTAGGTTTTCCCAATTTTGTTCAACACCTCTTCCTCTCTTAAAAATGTTGTTTCGGTATTTTATCTGCTAGAAATCAATGCATTTACATACCATGTAATGACGCCACTTAATTTTTCTGGGCTTCCTTTCCATCCTCTTTAAAATGAGTGAGCAGTTTCACTGTCATGGTCTAGTATAGTGCCCTGCACTTCAAGAGAGCTTTCACATTTATCATCTGATCCTCACGGCACACGAGGTAGATAGGGCAGATGTTATTCCTGCTTTTTTTATGAGAGCTGAAGTTGAGAAAAGCCAAAGCACGTGTCCAAGCTTAAGGTCACCATGCGGTATCAAACCAGGTGGAGAATCGTTATATGTTTAAGAAAAGGGGGAAAATCTGAGATAATCTTGATCATCATTAAACCAATGTTTATCAGTCACCTGTTATGTACCAGGCACCTCTTTTTTTATTTTTATTTTTTAACATTTATTTTTGAGAGAGAAACAGCACGAGTGGGGGAAGGGCAGAAAGATAGGGAGACACAGAATCTGAAGCAGACTCTAGGCTCTTGAGCGGTCAGCACAGAACCCCACGCGGGGCTCAAACCCATGAACTGAGATCATGATCTGAGTCAAAGTCGGATGCTAAACTGACTGAGCCACTCAGGTGTCCCCGCCAGGCACGGTTCTAAGTTTTGGGGGTAACTGGGAGGGGGGGGGTGCAGAACAAAGGTACTGCCCTCTTGGAGCTCACGTTCACTGATGAGAGGCAGGGTCAGTAAGCCATATCACATAAGTGCTGTGGGACAAAGAACAGAGCAAGTGTAGCAGAGGGCCTCTGAGAAGTGACATTAAGCAGAGATCTGCATGACAAGAAAGAGGTTCCCCTCTTACCACTCACAAGACTCCTTTCAGGGCATGCTATAGCAAGAGCATTGGGAGAGCACAGAAGGACAAGGGTGGTATTTGCTGTTTGGTCTAAGTGCGGAATCCTAGGGCTTTGGGCAGTGAAGAAATGTGAGATTTTTAAAAACTTAACCTTGCTGCTGTGTATGGAAAGGAGGGGCAAGGAGTGTCTGGGTGGCTCAGTCAGTTAAGGGTCTGACTCTTGCTCTCAGCTCAGGTCATGATCTCAGGGTCTTGAGTTCAAGCCCTGCGTTGGGCTCCGTGCTGGGTGGGAAGCCTACTTAAAAGAAAAGAAAAGAGAGGACAGGGGAGGGGAGGAGCGGAGAGGAAAGGAGAAGAAAGAAAGGAGGGGCTAGAGTAGAAACAAAAACAATAAGGCTTCCAGTTAGGAGACTACTGCTGTCATCCAGGTAAGACACAAGGGCGGCTCAGACTACCAAAATAGTAGAGGAGGTGGTTGTAAAACATCTCTCCTTGTCTATTTCCTCTCCTTCAACCCTGCCTTGTTGCTGTCTCCCTAATATTATTCTAACTGCCACCAAGCTTTTTAAAAATCAGTTGTTTTTAATATCTTAGGTTGACCTGCCTATCCCATTCTGTTTCCTATAGTATCTATAAAGAGAGTTGTGGAATCCGGTAATAGAAGGCACCTAGGTTAGGACCTTGTTCTTTTCTGGTCAATAAATAAATGAAAACTCTATACAGTATCGTTCTCTTTTTTGAGAATCACATAGTGATGGTCTCTTAAGTTGACAGTTGATCTTCTGGCTATCACACTGGGGATGTGTGGATGTTTGTGTACAATCATGCAGTTGAAACTGTGCTGAATGTTTACTATGTACTAAGCATGTTACCCTACTGCCCTTTGAGATAGGGACTGTATTTGTATTACTCCTGTTCTAAAAATGAAGCACTGAGGAGCAGAGAAGTACCTTACCAAGGTTACACAGCTGGTGGGCAATGGGGCTGTTATTTGAGTTCTGGCGGTCTAGTTCCAGAACCTGCCCTCCCAGGAAAATGATTGTTGGGAATAACACCATTTAGTTTCTTACCATCATTAAAGAAGATTCAAAACTCTAGGAGGTGGATAAGGTAGGCATTGTTAACCAGTTTTACAGGTGAGAATACTGAGTTACAGAAGTTCCCTGACTTGCTCAACTTGATATAACTGGACAGTGTCTGAGCCAAGACTAGCTTCTAAGCTTTTTGAGTGAGATGGAGTGCTTCTCATGAAACCTACCGTTTCCTAATTAAATAATGACCAAAGTTTTTTTCTAATTTGTAAATTTATGTGACTATACTATCATATATATGAAAGCCATTAATATTTTAAAAGTTAAATTATATTTACACATTTAGTGGATTATCTTTCCTTATAAAATAATTGTATAAAATAAATTTTAAAGTTCGGCAATACATATATGAATAAATACTTAAATGATGAACTTCCTTGATTGTAAATGGACTTTTTTTTACACTTCAATGCTTTTGAAAACAAGATGTCTTACAATCACTGTACATATTTATATTGTTCATCCTGAAAAGTAATTGTGTTGGTTGGTGTTGCCTCTCAAAACTGATAGGTCTTAAAAGATAAACAGTGTTTGAAAATCTGACAGGAATAGGGTGTGTAAATATGTCATCTGGGAAATATGAATGAGGATGTAAAAGTCTATCACATACTGAAATTTTGAGAAAAGTTTTCTTGGACAGAAAAGTGCTGAGGATCACAGATGGCACACATCACACTCTTGTCATATGCAATTTTAGAGACAATAACCATAAGTGTCGCTAGATGGCACTATTATTCTTAGGTAGTGTAGTAACTTATTCCTTAATGAACTTGAAAGTGATAAAGCAGGAGTATAAATATGTAGAGTATTCGTCCCAATAATGCTGTAACATTGTCAAAATTGTTTCTTAAAGAGATAGAATAACAAAGTCTATTGCAGTGAAATTCATATTATTTTGTGAACCCCAAAATCCAGGGAGCAATCTCTCGGACTCCTTTTTACAAAGCTGTATCATTCATTCATTCTTTCCATCAATCATTCATCCACTTACAAACATGTATTGAGTGTACAGAAAAATGCCAAGATCTCAGCAATGCTCTGGTTGTTTTCACACTGAAGAAAAAGGACTTTTGTCGAAAGTAAGATTATGGCCTTTGCTCTCAGAAAACCTGACTCCTCCACTTACTGGCGGTGTCATCTTGTGCGAGTCAGTATTATTATTATCACTTCTATTTTAGAGCTGAGAAGGCTGAGGCACAGAGCCAGTGGATGGGTATGAAAATACTTTGTAAAATCATGCTCTGTATATGAATACTATTAGTATGTCAAGAATGTTGCCAGCTATTTCTATTAATTCCCTATAAGATGCTCCATTAAGTCACACAACCTAAGCATATAAAGATCAGCCCCTGCACAAATGACCATGAGACAGCTTCTCAGTGCAGCTGCTCCCTGCCTCTACTTACCTCTTGGAAATACTGTCAGACCCAGAAATGAGGTTGAGAGATCTGAAGTATTCTGGCAGGATACCAGGAGTATGTTGTGGGGTGTGGTTGAGTGGGTGTGTTTAGATAGAAAAAGTTGTTTCCACAAGTCTTGCGGGAAGCCAACCGAATCTTTTACTGGTCCTGCTTGTGCTACAGTTGACATTGCTCCCAGCGTACAACACTGCCTTTCAGACACCCGTTCTGAACGAACATGATGATGAAGCATATTTCCTCACGGACGACGCTAACTAGCACAGCAAAACTGAATGTGAATACTTTATTCACGTTTTGTAATAATCTGAGTATAGATTGACAATGGCTCATTTTAGGAGGTTGTGCTCATTGTGCTTTTCTCAAGTTATCTTCTTTTTTAAAAAATTTGTTAATGTTTATTTATTTTTGAGAGGGGGGGTAGGGGCAGAGAGAGAGGGAGACAGAATCTGAAGCAGGCTCCAGGCTCTGAGCTGGCAGCACAGGGCCCAATGTGGGGCTTGACCTGAGTTGAAGGCACACGCTTAACCGACGGAGCCACCCAGGTGCCCCTTAAGTTATCTTCTTAGGTGTGATCTATTTATTCAGTTCTTATTTACCCACTCAGATATTATGTCCCAGTGCT